GCCAGTCATCATAACATTGGTGCTTACACATTTGGATGTTTAGGCTTCACTGCGTACATTCATCTACTGAAGGAGGGAATTCACTTCAGCTTACGCACTCGGCCTCTGCTGACATGAATGCATCTTACGTTAGATGCTTTGATGCCTGCAGGACCTGTTTCTGAACAATTAGTTAGAATGCAAATCGAGACTGGAATATTTGCTTAATCGACTCAATGAACACAAGTAAACATTTTTATTAAAACTGTGATATGAGAAGAAAGTATATATATTTTAGGAAATATGATAAGCAAAAGTACACCATAAAAAAATTAAATAGTAAATATTGAGATAGGTTGGGGACAATTGAAAACGATAGTCATGGGAAAAAAAGAGAGTCCACAGTCTTCCAAGTTTGGTGTTCTACATATAAGAGATAAAGATGATTTTGTCTTTTCTAATATATAAACCTAGAAACATTTATGCTCAAGTGTAGAAAAACACAGAACAGATTCACCATACCATTATTTCCATCCATCCATCCATTTTCTTCCGCTTATTCGGGGTTGGGTCGCAGGGGTAGCAGCCTAAGCAGGGAGCCCCAGACTTCTCTCTTCCCAGCCTCTTGGGCCAGCTCCTCTGGGAGAATCCCAAGGCATTCCCAGGCCAGCCAAGAAACCTCCAGCATGTTCTGGGTCTTCCTCTGGGTCTTCTCCCGGTGAGATGTGTCCGGAACACCTCACCAGGGAGGCATCCAGGAGTTATCTTAACCAGATGCTCGAGCGACCTCAACTGGCTCCTCTCGACATGGAGAAGCAGCGGTTCTACTCTGAGTCCCTCCCGGATGACTGAGTTTCTCACCCTACGTCTACAGGAGAGCCCAGACACCATGTGGAGAAAACTCATTTTGGCTGCTTGAATGCGTGATCTTGTTCTTTTGGTCACAACCCAAAGCTCATGACCATAGATGAGGGTAGGAACATAGATGGACCGGTAAATTGAGAGCTTCACCTTTTGACTCAGCTCTCTCTTCACCACGACAGACTGGTACAACGCCCGCTTCACTGCAGATGCCTAAGCTAACCGCCTATCGATTTCTCGCTCCATTTTTCCTTCATTTATGTAAAAGACCTCAAGATACTTAGACTCCTCACCTTGGGGTAGTACCTCCCCCGACCCGGAGAAGACACTCTAGCCTTTTCCAGCTCAAGACCATGGCTTCAGATTTGGAGGCACTGATCCTCATCCCAGTTGTTCAAGTCATAGATCACAACCTGATGAAGCTAATAGGACCATGTCATCTGCAAAAAGCAGAGACACAATCCTAAGGCCACCAAAACGGATCCCCTCAACACTTTGGTTGTACCTAGAAATTTTGTCCAATAAGAGTTATGAACAGAAGCGGTGACAAAGGGCAATCTTGGTGGAGTCTAACACTCACCGGGCACAATCCCGGTCCAGTGTTCCACAACCAGGACAAAAACCACACTGCTCTTCCTGAATCCGAGGTTCGACTATCCGACGGACCCTCCTTTCCAAAACCCCCTCACCAGGGAGGCTTAAGAGCGTGATTCCCCTTTAGTTGGAACACATTCTGCGGCCCCCCTTTTTGAATAGGGGGACCACCACCCCCAGTCTGCTAATCCAGGGGAACTGCCCCCGATGTCCATGCAATATTGCAGAGTCATGTAAGCCAACACAATCCTATAACATCCAGAGCCTTAAGGAACTCCGGGCAAATCTCATCCACCCTCGGAGCCCTGCCACCGAGGAGCTTTGTAACCACCTCGGTGAGCTCAGCACCAGAGATTGGCGAGCCCAACTCAAAGTCCCCAGGCTCCACTTCCTCAATGAAAGACATGCTGGTGGGATTGAGGAGGTCTTCAAAGTACTCTACCCACCGATCCATGATGTCTCGAGTTGAGGTCAGCAGCACACCATCCCCACTATAAACAGTGTTGGTGGTGTAGCGTCCTTGTGACTTGGTAAGGAAGAAGTGGGAAAAGATAATGGATGGATGGATCGTTCCAGTAAATTCATATTCATTTCAAAAGTGTACTCCAGCAGATAAAAATTTTAAAACATGGGGGTGGATACCAAGGAGGGTACAAAGCAACCTGCTGTAGGTGAGCAACAAAATTATATACATAGCCAAAAGTTCGTTTTTGCTAGTGGTTCACATGAAAAGTTTCTTAGTTTTTTCTGAGTTTCATTCTATTGGATTTTCTTTTTACTTATTTCTGAGTTCATCTTTTGTTTTAGGCTATATTTGACTCCAGGTGTTGATTTAAAGACCTAAAAGTGCAGAAACAGTGAAGCAGGGGAAGGGGATTGCAAGCTTTGACTAGTGTGAGCTGGTGTTTTACATTATATTCAGATGAAAGTTCCAGGTAAAAACAATTAGCTGGAACACCTCCTGAAGTCAGAATTCTGGCTCAGAAAGTTGGGGATTTCTCTTTCTTCAACATCTGCATCTAATATGGCTGACATAAACTTGAAAATGGTAATAAACTGCAGTAATAAACTTTTTATTATCACTTTTGTCAGTTTGTTTCTCAATAAATCAGTCACACACTTCCTGCACTACTTCTAATGGCCAATATGTTGCTAAAATGTTTGAATATGGTCCATCACTAATATTAGCCTGGTTGCTATACACAACAATAAGCCAATCGCACTGATTTTTTAACATGCTACTGGAACATGGTAAGTGAGGAGTGAAGTCATTCTTAGATTCAAGTTACAATCTTCCAAGGTAAACACAGCAACAACAATGTTAGCTGTTCCATTGTATTCTCGGTTGTATGGCATTAGTGGTTTGTGTACTGTGCACCTGCAAGCCACCTCTGAAAAGTATTACGTTTTATCTTACGGGTCAGGTATAAGGTTAACACTTTATCTCGTTTGACTTGCTCTTGCAGCATTTGCCACATGTGGCCTGCGGGCTAAGGTCTTATGACACATCTGTTGTAAATCAACACTACGCATCATACCCAGAGACCAATAAACTGGTAATTCAGATCTTTTAAAGTAGGATTCTGTGAAAAATGTATTAACCTGTTGTAGAAATCTTTTTGAAAAAAAGACTGATTGGATTGATGAGCTAAAGGATAGGCTGAGTGGGGCTAAGACCAAAGTTAATTGCCACCATATTAAAACAGCTTCAAACCCCAATAGCAGTTCAAAGCTACATAATGTTATAAATCTCTACATATCGGTTATTTTTTACACAAGGGATAGATATAGAAAAGAATTTTTATGGTTTTATGAAAGCACAAAGAGTAAAGCTGAAGGAACTTTAAGCATTTTTGGAGTACTTCTAGTAGGAATATTATATTACTCATGCTTAGATACTGATGCAAATAAAATTGTAAAAGCTTTTTAAAATAGCATTCATGTGAATCATTAATCAAAAGTTTTGAGATTTAAGTTATTTTAAAATGTTAGCAATACATTAGTCCCTCACTTATTGCAGGTGTTAGGCCATACCCCCCCCCCCCCCCCCCGCAACAAGTGAAAATTTGCGAAGTAGCAACATTACATTTATTTTAATATATATATATATATATGTACCCCGCCCCTCGCACAGTGATTGCTGGACATGGGCACCAGCGACCCCCGTGACCCAAAATGGAATAAGCGGGTAAACACAATGGATGGATGGATGGATGGATGGATGGATGTATGCAGCCCTGAGCACAAAAGCACATTTTGGGGGGTGGGGGGTGGCTGTCCTTTGGTTGGCTGACTCGGACTGGAGGTGATCAATTGAGTCCAAGTCTGGATGAAAAACATCCCCATGGGCTTCCGATGGAGCCCTGGACCTCTGCGACGCCGCGTGTCCCCGCTCGGAAGTCCTTGTGGGTCAGCTATTAGCTCTTAAGATTTTCCGATGGGTCTGGGGTGTTCGGTTCTGGTCCAGTTCCCGGTGGGTTCCGTGCAGCTCTCTGAATTCGCTGGGCACCGAAGTCACTGTAAGAAGCACCAAATTTTTCAGATCAGAACAAACCTTTTCCTTTACGTGTTTCAGCAGAAGGGCTTCTGGGCAGAGCACTGTTGGCTTCTGGGAAATGTAGTCTTTATGAGTGGGAATACAGTGTAGGCTTAATGAGAGAAAACTACAAAATGTCAACGCCTGTCGTAAGTATTTTATTTTTTCTTTAACTTTTTACTGTACAGTACGTTATCCAGTAATGTCCCAAACATGTGAATAATATTACAATTAACAATCATGTGTTCTGTACTATATATATGTAGTGAACTAAGCCTCAGGTCAAATCTGGCCTTGAGGGCCTTCCTGGGACAAGAACTGTATTTCATTGATTTGAGTCCAGAAACACAAAATCAAGTCCACCCAGAGACTTTCTAAGTGTGTCCTGCACTGATCAATTGAAAGAACACTCTCTTTTATTATCAGTACTATCTTACAAATTTCTTGATAATCAAAGTGTGTTTAGTTCAAACCATTTTTAAATGTTGAAGTGAACTACTCATTTTAAATCAACTGTGAAACCGCAATATAGCATGTCTGCAAAATTTGAACCAGGAACTAACAAGGGACTACTGTATATTACATCTTCCAAACCGATGTTGTTCAAAGAGTTATCTGCACAGGTAAGATATTAACTTTTCATAGGCTTTCCACATATAAGCCACTTCAAAACATCTGTATCTATTTTAACACATGTTAAAGGCTTCAATACAAATATATACAATTTATCAAACATTCTGTAAATCATTGGTTTAGTGTTAGACAAACCTAATATTTACAAAGGATTAAAAGTTCTAACCTCGACTTTAACCTGTTGGTTTTTCTCACATCATTGGAAAAGGACTGTGAAATACTAATTAAAGCATTGTTGGCATATTACTCAAATCTCTGCTTTTGAATAGACTCAAAGGAATTTGCATGCACGCACACACACTCACACATGGACACACACACATGCCTCCCTTCACACCCTCCCTGAGCAGTCTCCTCCCCTTATAAAACCCAGCTGGTTTCAGCCTCCTCTGCTGTCACAGATCTGAGCGCCCAGCTGGGATCTGTGCTCCTGGGCGTCACTCTTCCATTCAGACAAGTTGGAACAGCTTTGCACTCATCTCTGCTGGCCCTGGGACAGACTGCCTTACAAGCTGGACATATTTATAAGAAGGCACATAACGTAGCAAGAACTCTGCTGAAAGTCCTCTTAGAAATTCTCACTCAGGTGTATATGTAGCTCGTGATCATTGCATTTGAGTTAATTTATAGTTCTGTCAAGGTGAAGCCTTAAATAAACACTCTGGTAATATAGAGTTCATTTCAAGAGAGGTTCCTATCAAAATGGAGAGCCACCGTCCTTGAGAGACCGAACGAGATGGGAAAATGGGAGATAACCATGGTAAGTTTAATTTGATGTTGTCAAGAGGCAAATCTGTGGACAGCTATTTGAGTCTGCTAAGGCTGTTAATGCTTGACTAAAGAAAAAAAAAAACACTTGTCTGTTATTTAACTTTTTACAACTATTTAGTAGTTTTAAACCCCTGTTTTGGTGTTTCTGACATTCTCTGTGTCTGCTTAGCAACTAACAAGCTATTTTTTATTTTATTAAAAATATGAAATGACATTATTTATCATTATATATGAATCCATGCCTGCTTGTTTTCTTCTGGGGTAAAAAAGAAAAAGGTGCAACTTGAGGATTTTTCTGACCAGTACATCCAGCTGTGATATAAATGTAAAAAAAAAGTCTAAGAAAACAGGCTCAGGCTGCAAAATGTGATTAATTAATCTCTCTGCATTCACTTCTGTCAGATTAACGTTGCTTTTCCATTCTTTAATCCGCAAATAATCCAGTAGAGGTTTGGCACATGTGACCACTAGCCTTCCTTTAAAAAAGTACTTATCACCACCACCACCTTTTATGACTGAAGATTTTCTTTATTCTGAGAAATAATGGAGATAAATATGCTGAGTTAACCCCGCTTTGATAAAATTCTAAAATAATATTTCATACAATGAAATATGGTGATGTCTTGCATGATTGGTTAGAGTTTTAGAGTATATGTTGTGAATAACTCTCAGCTCACTCCAAATCTAGGCTCAGAATCTGTTAGGTTCCCTGAGGTATAGTCATTTTTTGTAAAGTTGATCATCTGTGGCAGTCATCTTGAATTGGGTTGACTTTAAAAGGTAAACAAAGTTAGTCAATAATTATTTTTCATTGTTCCAGTAATTCATGAGACATTTTGCTAACAGTCAAACAGGACTGACCCCAACAGTTAGTGCCATGGCTGTAAACAATGCGTTGCTCTCAAAGTGTGTGTTGGGAACAACTCTCAGCTACTGCCACACCAAAGTTTAGTACTTGCATGACTGGCTGCGTTATGTTCAGTTTTTGTGTTTTCTAAATCAGCTGGTTGTAGCAGCCATCTTAAATTAGATTAAGTCTTTAAATTAATATGATTACCTTTGGTCGGTTTCATCAAAATGCATCCAATGAATAATAATAAAATATTTTGCTTACAATACAGACCAAAAAATTAACGTTTTTTGACCTTTCTGCATATAGCTCAGATATTTTATTCAACAATCACTGGCGAGCTGACATTTCTGCGCTGCTGTTGTTTTGTATGAAAAGTGTTTCATTTAAACTGGGTCATGGAAGTTCAACGACAAGCTGATGTGCATCTTTTCTTCTTTCATTTTGGAGATCAAAAGATGGACGCCAGAACGTCTGAGCCACCGTCAGAGTAGACTCTGCTCCTGTGCAATAGTTTGCATTTAAATCAGATTCATTACACAATCAGGCTGAGCAGAATTCAAGCGTCCACTTGAATTGAATATGGAACCGAAACAGAGGAACAAGCTTGAGATGATGTGAAGTGTCCTCACGTCTCAATAGGCATTCATTTTATTTTTGTATTTTTTTTTCCAATTTAAAAATGACACATTATTAGATGACATCATGCAGCCCAGCTGCTGCCTGGCTGTGGTTCAGAGGAGCTGAAAGGCTCAACAAGGTGCTCAGAATGCACATCTGATAAAAACTGGTTCCTCGGTGTCAAGCTAAGTGCCTGCTGAACACTCAGCTGGAGCTTTTACTTGAAACATTATTCAAAAGTTCTCAGTGACATGAAAAGAGTCCTGACCTCTGGTTTTAATATATGAAAAGCTGCTCTGTTTCTACGAGACCGAGGCTCCAGCTGCCGTATGAACACCTGCAGTCCTGCGGTGAGCTCTGAGCCGACACAATGGAAACTTCAAGCCCTGTGGTGTTCAGGATTTTGCTTTGTTGCACTTACGTTGCAGTTCTGTATTTGGCCATAAACATTTAGGTGTCCACAAAATTCTTGGAACGTTATTTGCTGAGGAGAAATTGTAAAGAATAAATAAATGAAAGGTCTATGGATCTTTTCAGGAATTAAATGTTTTAATTCCATCCTGGAAGATGTGTCCATGCTCAGAATATGCAGCGAGCTCTAAGCCAGGGGGTTCCCAAACTTTTCCATGCCATGGCCCCCCAAGCAGCATTAGCTTCTGGCCGAAGCCCCCCTCACAATACTACAAAATATGTTAATAAACATCAACTTTTAGAATGTTTTAACTTTTATTCACTATATTCAATTAATTATTACAGCTGCT